TTTAAAGCACCAGTCAGTGCAGCTCCATTTTCATCTGTTTCGTGACTGGATGCTCTGCAGACAATTGCATTTACGGGGCGGGGTGGATAGTTTGAAGGACGGGGTGGGGCGGGGGGAACAGGAGTAGGAAGAGCCCGTCACTGGTCACCTGTTGCTAGCCTCCCCGCCCCCAGGGCCGCGCAGCGCTCAGCCGCATTTCCCTCCGCTAAGCTCTGGAGCCCACCTTCCCGCCAGCGCCGGCCACGGAGCCCGCTCCCAGGAGGAGTCCAGGCCAGCGCAGGCCGGACTCACAGCAGGACGGGCCCCGGGGCGGGGCGCTGACGCCTCGCCGGGGTTCCCTGCGCCCGAGGGATTTACTTATTGTGCTGAAGGAGGGAAGGAGGGGGAAACAAAACAAAACAAAACGGGGGGGAAACAACAACAGAACTTAGGCAGCGGAGCAGCAGGAATAGCAGCCTTCCCTAGGTCCCGATCGTTTGGGAGAGCGTCTGAATCCCGCGGGGAAAGCGCCGCCCGGCGCCCAGGGCTCCCGGGCGGAGGAAGGTGCGCGGCGGGCGCGCCTCACTTACCATGACTGTGGCCGCGGCCGCGGCTGCCTGGGCGGCCACCGCCGCTTGGTTGGCTTGGTGCTGCGCAGCTTTGATTTTGGCCTGCAAGTGTGCAGGAGGGTGAAAATATTTGCATTTCTCCCTCATGCAACGCCCCTTTATGTAATCCATACAAACGGTTACGGTGTTGTCGTTTGTGTCGATCATGGTGCTGTCTGCGGGGTGTGCAAAGCGGCAGTCGGTCTCTCCCCGGGCACAGTTTCCTCGCTGGAACTCCCTGCATACCTAGGACACAGTGGGGAGAAGCAGACGATGCAGAAGAGAGGCTGATGGCCGCCGGGAACTACCTCTGCGAGCGCAGCCATTTAGGTTGAAAAAAAACAAAAAAGGAATAAATGCTTTTCCTTTCTTTTAATGGGGGCTTTCGTGCCATTTCACTAGAAATTTGTTATGCAGAGCTCAAGTAACCAGAGTCCCTGACAAACTAATTTGAGTTTTGCTTCGCCCTCTTTGCTGGGGTGGGACTCTGTTGAGAAAATAAGTCAAAATGAGCAGTTTTCGCTAAAATAACAAAAATCAACAAAGCCTCCATTTGTCCCTGGGCTAGTGTATATACATCTCTAATAATTAGGACATAATATATGTATTTAACGACATATAGTATATAATTTGGACATCTGTAAGCACATCCAAATCTTTTCCTACTCTGACAACCCTGGGATGCCATAGTTTTTTGGTTGTTTTTTGTTTTTGCACGGAGGGATAGTTTCCTCACAGGTCAAGCCACCAGGTCACAGCTGTACAACTCCAGAAGGGATTGGGGGAAACAAGCTTGTTCCTTCTCCGAGGATGGCAAGTGGGTGGGGTGAATCTGAATACTCCTGTTTTCCCCTAGGACGCCCGGGCTCTAAAAAGATAACTTACGCTTATAATCATAAGTCAGAACAATCGAGGCCGAGACGTTGAAACTTGCATTTAAGATCACTCTATTATTATTTTTGATGGCACCGGAAGAAGATAAAAAACAAAGAAAAGACAAAAAGGAGAGAAATATGGGAAGAAGGGGAAAGAAATAAGTGGAGGGAAGGAGGAATAGAGTTCCAACTACTCATGTGTTGTTGCTATTGCTTTTTTAGTCCTTAATCCTTAGTTACCCTAAATGCTCCATCACCTAAGAATTCCGATGCATCAAGAGTTTATTGTATAAAGAAAATTTTCTTTAGAATTTAAAGCGCATTCTTGATTCTGCCCTGAATATCGATAATATAAGATGACATGACTGACCTATAGACATAACACTTAGGTTTATAAATATCGTTAGCAGGACAGAACTACGGGTAAAACTGTAAGTTATTTTCCTTTTAGGCTCTAATTCCAAAGCCAGTAAGCGGTGGTTGGCATCTCGGCCATCAGTGACGTTCGTTATATGAAGGGTCACTGATGTGACAGTCAAGCTCTGTGACAGTCAAACTTACTTGGGAAATACAGTTTCACCGACCAGTGGCCAAGAGGGTTTGAAGGGTAAACAGAGAAGTCGCAAGATTGCTCATCATGTCCTCCTGCTTTGGATATAAGCCAATATTCCGATCTTTAGTTCATAAAATGTACAAATAAAAATTACTAAGATGTTCCCATCAATTCCGAGTAAGCCTTCCTCTCTAAATGGAATCCTCCAGTCTGAGACCACATCAGAGGTACAGAGCAGCCGTCAAGCATTTACCAAGGGTCGCCATGTGCAGGACAAGAGGCTTCATTCCTGGCTTGAAATGAACTGCATGAAGACCTGCTAAAGTCGTTGTAAATTATTTTTCTATGTCTTTGTCTACCAGTCCTGTTGGGGAGGACAATTTGTTCCCAACTCAGCTGATTTAATTTGTTTTCTAAACCACACAGTCACGAACTGAACACTCCATGGGTCCAGCAGGTGGAGCCCCAAACACTTTTCTAGACCATGAAAGGTCTGTTCTATATTCACAGGGGCAGGCTAGATCAAAACAGCAGTGTTAGGGTCTTTAGTCTTTTCGTTTTGGGATTCATATGCTCCAGAGTGAAGCTGATACCAGGCAGCAACATTGTATTGCCCTCAAGATTTACTGGGTAAATATTTAAGCAAATGCACATTGAAAGAACATCTTCCAGTGATCCAACGTAAAGCACCGTGTACATCCTAACCATACATATATCACCTAACAACTTAAATAGGTAATGGAATTAAAGGAGCTCTTTAAAAAATCTATCAGAATCTTTACACTACTGCATAAAGTGCTCTATTAAATATCACAGGATATAGTAGCTAAGATAAATCCTCTTACTCTGATTAAAGAGAAATTTTACCCAGTAAGGGTTGGCTTGACTCATGACTTAAGAATCATCTTCTATAATTATATGAACGTGTTTTCTTGACTTTTACCGAACACTTGAACTTAAGTTAAAGAAAATATCTCAATCAATACTTAATACGCCCAGCTTCCAGTTCCCCTGTTTACCAACAGTACAACCAGGGCTGATATTCTGGAACGTTCCAATATAACCATATTAGCTCTTAAAATATTGAAATGTGATCATACCAAATGGTCAATAGTCATAGTTCCACTTACCCCTACCCCTGTCCCCAGGTGTTTCAAATTTTTCTGATTTGGCCATTCTCAGACCTTTCTAGGAGCCATGAAAGGTTAATGCCAGCACAGCTGGAGGCCTTCAGGAGCCATCTCTATGGCCTACACAGTGATTGATTCAGTGTTCCACTGGTTGTTAAATATTTTGCCCCTGAACACACATTCCAAACAGCTGAATTTTGTTTGTGCTAAACTAATTCTTTCCCTACAGACTAATTTCCTTTATAACTTTGCCTTAAATTGAAACCACAGAATTATGAATGCATGGCTTTTAGATGAATGTGTGTGTGTGTGTGTGTGTGTGTGTGTGCACATGGCTGTTTTGCAAGACTGAATTAATATCTTATAAGCATTCACTTACACAGAAGTACACTTCTACCCCAGATGCATCTCAAACCACAAATATAATGAAGTACCTCCAGTTTGTCAGTCCTGAGAAGTTTCTGAGTTGCAGTTGAGCCCGGGACAGTGACGGGTGGACTTCCGGGAACAATAACGGGTGTGGTGGGTAGAATTTCCGTTGGGACTAACCCAACTCCAGGGGTTACAGGTGCTAAGTAAGGAGCAAAGCTAATCGCCGTATTTGTCCCTATTGCGGGACCTACAGGAAAAGTGGGCTGTTAAAGGAAGACAACACAGGACAAAGATTTCTTTAGAATAAAACTTTAAAAAATCACCAGTAAGTGTCATTTGAGCAAAACTTACTCACCATACACAAGACCCTTTGTGTTACTTGCGTAAATCGATGCTGGCCTGTGAAAGTTCATTAGATTGCCTGTTTTGTTTTGCTTAAAAAAAATAATATCCATGTATATCCTCTCTTCCTAAAACCATACAAAAACATGCGAGCACATTATAGAAACCTAATTACAGGGAACGGATTAAATTTTTATTCCTATGAAAGTTTTCTCAAGAAAAAACAATAATTTTCACTGTCATTGCTCATCATTCCAAACAGTGAATGTTATAACAGGAAGGGGGTAAACCTATGGAAAACTGACTCCTAATCTTTGATTTCTCCTCCTTGCATCTCAAAAAAGGACAGGAGGAAAGAAAAACCTTGATTAGAGCCTGATTTTCAAGTTGATCGAGTACATACATTCTCAAAAATTGGGGATTATCTGGGACTGTATTTGCTCTGATTCAGCATCATGTTCCCACATTCCGTCACTAGCCTGTATGTAGTGTTCATATGGACCTGCTGTTTCTCGATCCAGTTCAACTGTGTCTAGATCTAACCTTCCCTGCCTAAAAGGTTGGATGAGAGAACATGAACTTTTTAATTGGCCAATTTTTCAACTGGCCACTAAACGGTGGTTTGGTTTCCTAGGTTAAAATCAATGCAGCAGTGATAAAGGCATACCGTACTTCATTTAAACTTCTCGATCGCTACATTCCTTGTCCAGAGATAAGAAAGAACTGCGCTAGGGGGTTGATGGGATAACAATTTTTAAAAGCCCCACCTAAAAATATGCTTTCCAGAAAGGAAATAATGTAAGAGAACAATAAAGTTTGCTTCACTTTTCTAGAACCAATGTTAAAAGTGCAAGACGCTAAAGATTTTTGTTAGAATGAATTTTACACTAAATTGTCCCTGAATGGTTTTATTGGTTGGTTGGCTTTTTAGCTAGTTGGTGACTTTTACCCTCTTTATTTTTAGGAGCAGTTTGCAGATATTTGCAATCACGTGTTAATGCAGTTTTCTAATAACCAAACTGTGCTCTCGGCCATGTCACGCTACCCCTCTATTTATATATTGTGAGTAACATTCTTGTTTTCTATTTACGGCTCTGAATGAGTTGTTGAACATATGGGAAAAATAACAATCTATGTTTATTATTAAACAAATTTTTTGTTGACAGCAATAACGGAAAAATACCTCTTATGGATGCTCATGTTAGAAAACAGTGAGTTACTGATAGTTTGTTCAAGGAGCTCTCAGAGGTTCTGGAGGTCTTTAGCGAAGTGGCTGGGGGCTGTGAGAGGTGATTCTAATGGCCTGCGAGGGCTGTTATAGCCCTCCCACGAGGAGCTCTTAGATCTTTATGGCTCAGACATCAAATTCACTTTGGGACAGGGTTGCAACATGAGGTCTCAACATGGGAAATAGATGGCAGTTAGGATTTTTTTTCTCCCAAATTTTATATGTGTATGTTTTCCATTTTCAACCCATTGAGCCATAATTACAGAAAGTTGCGGTTTTCAGTAACTATAGTTTTTATGAGTTAGCACCATTGAAAAAAAGCCAAGTGATTTAAATGGTATGACTATCTAATGTTAGAATTAAAAAAAAATCAACTCTGAAAGGTCATAAATCACAACAGATCAGGGATTCAAAGAACCAGCTAAATCAGAAATGCCTGAGGGGAATTTCATAAATAGAAATATCGCCAGACTCGATAGGTCTAGGCAGGGACCCTGAAATTTGCATTTAAAAAAACTTACTATGTGATCTGATGTGTGGCCCAGTTTGGGGACCACTGTCATAGATGGAGAGTGAAAATAGGTATTAAAACACTTGTACTGAATGTGTAATTTAACACAGAGACCATTATCAAAGTAAACATTCAAAGAAAACAGCCCTCCCCCACAGGCCCGTTTTTGATTTTCTGCAGCAGCAAATTCCCAACCCTCCCTCTTGTGGATCATTTGAAGCCAGGGTCAGTGTGGTGACATAAATACAGGTTGTACCTTGACTGTCGGTGGGATGTCAGAACCTCAAAACTCATTTCCTGAAACCTTTTTGGATATCAGTAAATCTATTAAAATCAGAAAAATTTTGCTTTCCAAAATGTAAATTACTTGTTCATCTAATTTAATGATCTAAAATGAATGTTGCAGGGGCGCCTGGGTGGCAGTCGGTTAAGCGTCCGACTT